AAAAAAAAAAAAAAAAAAAACCCAAACACCAAGTATTATAATAATACAAAGAACCATTATGAATCTTTCATTAAACTGAAGCTCACATCAACATACAATCACAAATTTCAGTAGTTTAGGCTGCAAGTTTAAACACTATGCAAATATATACAAAAATAGTAACTCTAGATTCAAGAATAAGGGCTTTTCCCAATGCTAAATCATACTCTAATGCAGCCTGAGCTTTCCTCTAGTTCTAGTCTACTTTATGTAGTTTCAAAATCATGTCAAGTTGATCCCTATCACCATATGTATTTACATAGGGAAATTAAAGGGCACTACAATTCATTCTCAGCACACACAAAATGTCTGCCCAAAGTCCATTTAAAATATTTTTAAGGTTTAAATGATTTTTTTTTTTGGTTCAATTTCTATTTCTGCATAGCCACAGAAGTTCCTTCTAATAAAGAGACTACTTTAGTGTTTTATATGATTATTTTTTTTAAAGTCTTAATCAAACCTATATCAACATTAGTTCAAGGAGTCCCATCTTCTCCTCCCTTTATCACAAGTTTTATAATTTTAAAAGACCCTTTCATGCAGGGAAAACAGTACTGAGCACCAGTCTTTTGTGGTTAGGCTCAAATCTATGGAACTTGTAAGCAGCGCAAGCCACTGACTTTTCTTTGAGCAATGTGCATACAGTACAAGGAGCAGATGCGAAGCTGCATGGTAACGTTCTCGCAATCAGCAGCGATGACTAGGAATGGTCAAAACTGGATGTCAAACACAATTTTGTCTTCATACAAGGCAATCACCAGCATGATGGCAAATCCAAATAGCAATCCTAAATTCTGAAGAACGAACTGCCCCACTGGACAAAAGCCATGTTCTTCATTGTCACCATCACCATGCAGCATTTCTGGAAGCTGGAGCAAAAATAATTATTTTATTGAACACAATGCTATGCATAAGACATATTTTAGTCAAATATTAAGAAAAATTTTATGCTTTTGCATAAATTTAAATATTCTGTTCCCTCCTCACCGCCCCCCAAAACACTCAAAATATGTGCTTTAGTCATTTTCCAATTACTATTCACTGACCTTATCAATTCTGACATTTTACTTTATGCTAAGACAGAAAACAATATTACCAATAAAACTCTCAGAAAGATTGTCACAATTCCCACATTTATTAATATATCTTAAACTCTCTGATAAAAGGAAGAATCTTTCAGGAAATAAAACTAATTCAAAATTATATCACTTTTTTGCCTCTTTCCATATGAAATTCTCATTTCCCATTGTGCATGACACTTGAAAAGAGTCCCAAATGGGCATCTCTACACCTTTAAGCCAATGCTTTCTTTCTAGCAACAAATAAGCTACCAAAGCTATTCAGCATTAACTAGTGCCAAGTTATTATGCATACTGCTCTCATAGTGTACTCTATTCTTTTAATATTGATAATTTTCTCCTTTTTTTTTGAGATGGAGTCCCACTTTGTCACAGTACCATTACATCGTAGCTCACAGTAACCTCAAACTCTTGGGTTCAAGCGATCTCCTTGCTTCAGCCTCCTGAGCAGCTAAGACTATAGGTGCCTGCCACAACACCTGGCTATTTTTAGAGATGGAGTCTTGCTCTTGCTCAGGCTGGTCTGGAACTCTTAAGCTCAACCAATCCACCTACCTTGGCCTTCTAGAATGCTAGGATTATAGGTGTTAGCCACCGTGACCAGCCAATAAATTTAAAAATTGTCATTATCTTTAAAGATGCAGTACTTTCAGAAGTTTATACTATTGTGTTTAAGAATAATCAATAGATTCAATCAGAATCAACAGAATTCAACAGAATAAATGAAAATTAAACCTTTATTAAATAAAATTTATGGAAGAAATACATTTGCATTTACAAGCATTAATTCTTCCTACCCATACCTAGTCAAAACCATGAAAATAATTACTACTTCTAATTTTTGCTTTCACTTTTCTGCAAATGTAATTCAAGATTGCAATCAGTATCCACAGAAAGATGACGGTGATACGCTACTCATTTAGACTCTACATTGTACTCCAAATAGTACCTTTGTACTTGGGGGTTTAAAAAGGAGAAATGTAGGCTCGGCGCCTGTGTCTCAAGCAGCTAAGGCGCCAGCCACATACATCTAAGGTGGTGGGTTCAAATCCCCAGCCTGGGCCCACCAAACAACAATGATGGCTGCAACCAAAAAATGGCCAGGCGTTGTGGCAGGCGCCTGTAGTCCCAGCTACTTGGGAGGCTGAGGCAGAGACTCGCTTGAGCCCAGGAGTTGGAGGTTGCTGTGAGCATGATGCCATGGCACTCTACCCAGGGGGACAGCTTGAAGCTCCGTCTCAAAAAAAAAAAAAAAAAAAGAGAAATGTAATGTTAGTTACACAATTCTTAATTCATAATTCTTCCTGCCTGGGAAGAAATATCATTATTTATTATCAAATAATGAGTACACTTAATCCAATCACCATGTTCTGACAGTGGTACAGTATATTTAACAATTTGCTAAGGGCCCTTTAAGAATTTCTTCATCCTAGAATTTCTTCATCCTGTTTAACAATCTATGCAAGTAGGGTATAATAGCTAATAAAGGCTATTTTCTTCTCCAAAACTTATACTAAATTACTTTGTCAAATCGACTAATGGTCTAAGACAAGGCCTGGCACACTCTGCTGAGTCTGGCCATGCCTATTCATTTACACATTGTCTATGGCTTCTTTTGTGGTACAACAGCAGAGCTAAGTAGCTGTGGCAGAAATCACTACAATGGCAGAACTGATTAACTGTGACAGAGACTATACGGTCCACAAAGCCTACAATATTTACTACCTAGACAATTTACAGGAAGTCTACCAACCCCTGGATTAAGACTCACACTGGCAACTTCCTATATATGGTCCTAGTAAGATTATATCCTACTGCATCTTTTCCCTCCCCTTCCCCCATGTTTTTATTGTTACAGAAGTTTTTCATTTCTGACATTCCATAACATTTAAGCATAAACAATATGCAGGATGTTTCACAGAAATAGTCCCTCTTAAATATGTATACATACCAATGAGAATAGCACTATGGCTTTGTCACATTCGCCTCTACTGTGAATGTCAATACCCATGCTGTTTATCATAACCACGGCTAACAGTCAACCAGTACCTACTAATATGGCCATACTTATTAAAAATAAATGGGCCAGGCACAGTGGCTCACACCTATAATCCTAGACCTTTGGGAGGCTGAGGTGGGTAGATCGCTTAAAGTCAGGATTTTGCTGATAACAGCAATACACCATCTCTATGAAAAAAATCAACCCAATGTTGTGGTGTACAACTGTAGTCCCAGCTACTCAGAAGGCTGAGGCCAAGAGGATCAGTTAAGTCCAGGAGTTTGAGGTTTATGTAAGCTATGATGATCCTAGTATACTCTAGCCTGGGCAATAGAACAAGGCCCTATGAAGAAGAGAGGAGGGGAGGATAGAACAGAAAAGAATGAGAAAGAGAAAGGGAAAGAAAAAAAGAAAACAAAAATGCTTCCATACTGGTTGAAACAGCACTGGCCACATCCCCTAAACCAGATATTTCTACCAGTATATCTTATAGGTGACTCAAACTAAAACTTCTGATATTGCTGCTATCTTATTGAATGGCCTTAAAAATCAATTAAAACCAGACAGCACCTGTGGCTCAAAGGAGTAGGGCGCTAGCCCCATATGCCAGAGGTGGTGGGTTCAAACCCAGCCATGGCCAAAAACTGCAAAACAAACAAACAAACAAACAAAAAATAATAAAAACCTTCCTTCCTACAGCCAAAGTGGTCTTTCTAAAACAAAAATGTGATCATGGCATCCTACTGCTTAAACTTTTTAATGCTCCCCAAAATTCACAAGATACACTCTATAAACTTTTTAGTATGGTATGTTTGTTGTGTGACTATTATAATCTGGCCAATATACCTGATGACAATATGGATATAATTTTTAGTCCATTATTTTTCTACTTAGCATTATAAAATACATAATATTGGTGTCATTAAAATCTTAAAAAAAAAAATGTGGATAGTTTGTCCCCTTTTTCTTGAACATTTAGAGACCATTCCCAATATAACCGTGACATTATAAATGCTACTGAAAAGGACACATTAGTCAGGTCTTGTTTTTGCTTACTTGCTTATCAGTAGTTGTCATTTTAGGTTACTTCCTCAGAATATAGTCATAGGCATGCTACATATCTCTTATCACTAGTCACCTGTGAAGTCTCCCCTTGGCCATCTGGTGACCGTAGTGATATTCAGCAATGAAGTATGTAGCACTTTTTTAAGGATGAGTGTGCAAACTTTAAATGCCAGAACTTGTATATCAGAAGATTTCGATTACTGGCTACTTTTCTTCATTGAACTATAAATCCTCACTATAAATGAACACTCTCTCCTTCACACCTCTAGCTCCTCAGTACAAGAATTAATTAATTCATTCTTCATTCAACACTAATTGTGAACTGCATTTCCATTAGTACTCAAAATAAGAAAATAATGCCTGCCTTCCCAGAGCTAACATCTCAGTGTGGAAGACAAAGAACTTGATAAGTTAAGTAATATCTGGTATTTTATTTAACAGATTGAGATACAAGGGCAAAAGAGAAAAAGGTACAGCAGGGATAAAGGATATGGACTGTGGTGGAGGTGTGGGAATGGTATTTCAACAGGATGCCTCATGGAAGTGAAGGAGCCAGCAGTGACAATGCCTGCAGGAAAGGCATTCTATGTGGAGTGGTCAGGAAGAGCCATAGCCTAAAGCAGTGTGTCTCATGGGGGAGAATGGGAGGAGACAGGAAATGGTGGGAAAATTAAGAGAAGGGAGTGAAAATGCTCATTGATGATTAAAAGTCCTATAAGTCAATGTAAAAACCTTGAGGCTTTTACTGTAAATGAGATGGAAAGCCACTGAAGGTCTGAAGCACATGAGTGGCATGATCTCATCTCTGAAAGGATCCCTCTGGCTGAGTCAGGTCAAGGGCAGAAGCAGGAGAGCAGCTAAAAAGAGAAAAGAGGATGATGTCTTAGAGGAGGGTGTTGGGTGGCACAGGGCTTAAGATAGACTGGATGTGGGGAGGGCAGAAAAAACTGGAGACAAAAGGTGACACCCAGGCTTTTTGAACAACCAGAAGAATGAAGTTATCATTTATGAAACAGAGAATTCTTAGGAAGTGCTGGGGCAACGAGTGAGGTTGGAGAATATCAAGAGCTGAGTTCTGAACATGTTAAGTTATACACTCAAGTAGCTGGATCAGTCTGGAGTCAAAGGCCTATGCTAAAGTCATAAATTTAGGAATCATCAGCTAAGAACTGATATAAATTTCTTAGGTCTTCTGTCAACATTTAGAGGCAGGGGAGAAGAAAAGAATCCAAAGGGACAGAGAAAAAGAAAGGTCAGAAAGGTGGGAGAAAGGCCTGTAAATTGTGGTTTTATAGACACCTACTGACAAAAAAACCACTTCCAAGAGGAAAGAATGATCAGCTGTCAAATGTTACTTGCTATGACAAGAAAAATGAAGACTAAGCAACGTTGTGATTAATGGTAAATCTGACAAAAGCAGTTCTGGCAAGACAGAAAAGCTGATAAGGTTAGATTTAGAAAAACACTAAAAGATAAACATTGTGGGGAGGCTGAGCAGGAGGATCGCTTCAACCCAAGAGTTCAAGGTTGCAGAGAGCTGTGATTGTGCCACTGCACTCAAGCCAGGGCAACAGAGGAAATTGTCTCTTTAAAAAAAAAAAGATTTGGTAAGAGAGTAGCAATAGGGTGATAGCTAAAAGAGAAAGTAGAGTTAAGAGAGGTCTCTCTCTCCTACCTTTTTAAGAAGAGAGAATATAAGGTTTTTATGTTGATAGGAATGATCCAGCAGAGAGGGGAAAAATGATGCAAGAGAGACAGAATTTAAGAGAATTAGCAAGAGAGGATAAGTTCTAGGGAACAGTTTGAAGTAGGTAGCCTTAGTTAGGAATGTGGAAGTTTCCTCACAGTAATAGGAAAGAAAGTAAAAAGGCACAGATACAGCAAAGTATATACGAGAAGTGATGGGAACCAGTGGACGGTGTCCCCAGGAAATAAGAAGCAAGGTGGGCAGTGATGGTAACAGAATATAAATATGTTTTATATTATATATGAATGTTTTATATTTATATTTATAACCTATTTTATATTTATATAGGTTTTAGAGGTTGGAGGGTGGGCAGTGATGGTAACAGAATATAAATGTTTTATATTGTATATAGATATGTTTTATATCTATATCTCCAGGTAATAGAATATAAATGTTTTCTTTCTTCTTTGTATGTTGTGTGAACTTTCTACAACAAATAGGCATTAATTCTGCGATTCGAATTTTAAGCTTTGTAACTTTGAAATGAGACTATGTAAATGTAATATTTAGCCAAGAACACCAAAACCAAAAGCTAACTAAATTGTTAGCTCTGTAAGTACACTAACATATTTGAAGTATTAAGGTAAAATTAAAATTGTTAATGTTTAGATTTAAAAATAAATTATATATATCCATGGAACAGACACCATCTCCTGTAGAAGACTGGCTTACCTAACAGATACTTTCCAACTTGTTTGCCATAAAGCTCAATAAATTATTTTTGTTAACAGCAAAAATAAAACACTTGTACTCCAGTATTGCAAAATCCTCAAAGTGTATAACTCAGTATCTCTCCAAAAACCATTAATGGTTATTCAAGTAACATTATTTGATTATTAATCTTCAGTATCTCAACTAGTTTCCATAAAAGAAATCCTCCTACTTAACTATTTTTCCCTACCTTATTTATAATATCACATCTTTAAAATGGGTTATATATGTGTGTATGTGTATATATACATATGTACATATGTTTTTCTTTTTTGAGACAGAGTCTCACTTTGTTGACCTTGGTAGAGTGCCATGGTGTCATAGGTCATAGCAACATCCAATGCCTGGTTCAAGTGACCCTCTTGCCTTAGGCTGTTCTGGCACTCCTGAGCACAAGCAATCTACCCACCTCAGCCTCCCAGAGTGCTAGGATTACAGGTGTGAGCTACTGTGCCTGGCCCTAAAATGGGTAATATTTTTAAAAACAGTTCAGCTTCAAACCACTTCTAAGGATTTCTCCCATTTTTGAAAGCTGGATTCTATTTTTAATTTTAGAACAAAATAAAAAAAAAAATCTTACCATATCCACCAAAGCTACATAGAGGAACATGCCTGCAGTAATCGCAAAGATCCAGAGTGTGATGTTGTTGGCATACTGACCGACAGCTGTGCCGATGAGCATGCCTATGTAAGCCATCATGGCAGAGAGGAGGTTGTACACAATGGCTTGCTTCACAGTCATGCCTGCCTTAAGGAGAACTGCAAAATCACCTGCAATTAGAACACAATGGTAAAGTTTTAAAACCACAGAATATGAAACGCAAATGTAAATGGACAAAAACAATAAAAAAATTAAGAATAGCATAAAAAAGATACACCTTTAATAACTTACTTTATTACATAAGATTTATTTTTTACTTATTAATTACACCATAGTACATGCAAAAACTTAGGTGAATCTCAAAGGCACGATACTGGAAGAAGACAGTCTGCAAGTTATAAACCCACTCTCAGACTACGGTGATGAAGAACAATCAGTGGTTGCTGGGAACAGGGAAGGTGGAGAGATGGCTGTACAGGAGCAGCACAGGGCCTAAGCTGTTGAGTGTTGAAACTTTAGTATCCTGAGGGTGACCCTGGGGCTTGCCCATTCTGTATAAATGTTAAAATTCAAAGAACTATACACACCACAAAAGTCAATCTTACTATGTGATAATTTAAAATGTAAAGTTTTTATAAAAGAAATCAAGAAAATGCCAAAAAGAAACAAACAACAACAAAAAAAGCAATTACTCCTCTCTTTCTCTATAAGTAACAATTAAGAGCTCTCTGCTCTGACTTCTACCTTTTCTTCAAAAGAAAACGGCCTAAGTAAAAACAGAGGTTCACAGGGGCTTTCCATATACTTTATCATGTTTACATTTTTTCCCTAGGAAAAAAATTAAACTTTAATTCTAAAAATCTTAAAAATGTTAAGAAGAATAAAGAGCTTTCCCCATCACCTTTACATGCTGCCATAATGGTATACATAAATAGCCTAGCTGACGCTCTCAAGACCATCAATGCCGACAACAGAGCAAACACCAGATCCGTGATCCTGGAACACAGATTCCTCCATGATCACAGCCCTGACATAAAGGAGGAGAAAGAAGAGGGGAAGTGGAGCAAGGAGTGAGGAGGAAGGGGAACATGGAGGGAGAAAAGACTGTTATTGCTCATCTGTCTAGAATTGGAACATCAGGGAAAAAACGATTATTGCTTAGAGAAATGTTAAAATGCCAAAGAGTCAAAAGTAATAGCTTTATCTACCATGATTATTTTAGTTACTAAATGCACAAACATCCAACAAATTACCGAACACTTAGTACATGCAAGGTGCTACACAGAACACTGACTGGGCTTGGATCTCAACATCTACCTATCTAAAAATACAGGATTCTGTTCTTTCATCACTCTCATGGTTTGAAGGTCCTAGTCTATAACAGGTAGGTAAAAGGTAACAGCAAAGCAATTAGTGCAAGGCATTATTTTTTCATATTCCAACAGATTCCCAAAAACTACATAATGCAACATTATTTTGGAAAATTAAGGTAATGTATCTAAGGCGATTATTTACCAAAGGCTTCTAAATTACCACTCTCCAGATTCCACATAATACTATTCTCCTTACATTTTTTCCCTTCTGATTCTAAATACCTTAATTCTCCTGCTGAGAACTAGATTTAATACAGCTTTTATCTCTTCCCTCTCCTGGAGTTTTGTTTAATTTTCTCCGGTCTTTTTGTCTCAGCTTTATAAGGAGAGAGTTCCTTAACTTCCCTAACAAATTTCTCTTCCTTATTTTCAATAACTCACCCACCAACTGTGCTAAAGGGGCAATTTCATTTAGCAGGAGGTTAGTTAACACAAAATGAAACTACAGAAGTGTCTTTTAGGTTGTAAAACACGTTGCTGTCTTTTATAATTTCACTCTAAGTGGTTGAAAAAGGAGCATTATTTAATCCTCAGTGAACTACAGTGTCATAGGCACAAATTACATGAACTTTGTTATCTTCTCTGATATTACTGGATAGCAACTGAGTTCATTTGAAAGTAACAACCAAACTGCCTTAATTAAATAATCAAGATTTGAAATGAATTATTTTTAAGAATTAAAAAGTGCCTTCATTGTCTTTATGGTTCATTAAAACAAAGTGGGGTATAACTTGGGGTTTTTTGATGTAGAATTCAAAGAATTCTGATAAACACATGTAAACCTACATTTGCTTAAGTCCCTCATAACTAGGCAACTAATAATCTGCTTTCTGTCCCTATAGTTTTGTCTTTTCAAGAATGTCACATAAATGGAATTATACAGCATGTGGTCTTTTGAGTCTGTACTTTTTCACTTAGCATACCTAATGTATGTAAGATTCATCCACGTTATATGTATATCAGAAAGTTATTTTATTGCTCAGTAATATTCCATAAATGAACCATTTGTTTATCCATTTGCCAGTGAAGGAAATTTAGGTTGTTCCCAGTTTGGGGCAATTATGAATAAAGCCACTATACACATTCATAAACAGGATTTTCATCTGTTTAAGTTTTTATTTCTCTTGGGTAGATACTTATAAAGGGAGTACTGGGTCACACAGTAAGTGTATTTCTAATATTATTAAGACACTGTATTCCTACCAGCAATGTATGTAAAGTTCTAGTTGTTCCACATGCTTGCCAGCTCATGATCACAAATCCAGTATCTGAGACTTCATGTGTTATATTTGCCACCTGTATACCTGTTTCAGTGAAATGTCTGTTCTCATCTTTTGCCTACTTTTTTGTTGTTGTTGGGTTGTTTTCCTATTTTTTTTTCTTTTTTGGGACATAGTCTTATTATGTCGCCCTCAATAGAGTGCCATGGCATTGCAGCTCACAGCAACCTCTAACTCTTGGGCTTAAGGGATTCTCTTGCTTCAGCCTCCCAAATAGCTGGGACTACAGGTGCCTACACAAGGCCTAGCTATTTTTTGGTTGTAGCTGTCATGGTTATTTGGCAGGCCCAGGCTGGATTAGAACCCACCAGCTACAGTATATGTGGCTGGCACCATAGCCGCTGAGCTATGGGCACACCATACCCGTTCTCCTATTACTGAATTAAGAGGTTTTTGAAATATTCTGGTCTAAAAAGACCTATGACAGATAGGTATTTTCCTAATATTTTGCCCCATCTGTGGATAGCCTTTTCATTCTCTTAACACTGTGTTAAGAGTGTTTTGTGAAGAATGTCTTTTGTGAAGTCTTTTGTGAAGAATGCTATAATTTGTATAAAGTCCATTTTAGTATGTTTTTCTTTAATGAATCATGCTTTAGTGCTGTATCTAAGAACAATTTGCCTAACCCAAGGACACAAAGAGATTCCCCTAAATTTTCTTCCTAGAAGTTGTACGTTTTCAATTCTCCATTTAGATCAATGATATATTTTGAGAGTTTTTTTCCTTTGATGTGAGGTATGAGTCAAAGGTTTTTTTGTTTTTTACCAAAAGTAGACATCCAATTGTTATAGCATCACTTGTTAAAAGACTACCTTTTCTACGTGGAATTTGCTTTGTACTTCTGTTAAAATAAAATACATATAAGGAATCTGTGCTCTGTTCCATTGATTTGTGTGTCTGTTCTTTCACTAATAACAACTGTTTATAATATTACGGTGGCTTTACACTAATGTATAATTTTTTGGTGTTTTTCTTTTATTTTAATAGATTTAGGGGAATAGGTGCTTTTTTTAGTTATATGGATAAACTACATAGTGGTTACTGTCTTGGCTTTCAGTGTACTTGTCACCCCCCAGGGGTCCTTAAACTATGGCCCGAGGGCCACATGCGGCCCATGGAGGACATTTACCTGGCCACCTGGTGTTTTTGCTGCTGCTGCCTGCCCTGCTTAGCAGCCAACTTGTCCCGGGCCTGCAGTCCAGCCCTCCGACAGTCTGATGGACAGTGAACTGGCCCCCTGTTTAAAAAGTCTGAGGACCCCTGGACACTGTACCCAATAGGTTATTTCCTTCCCTCACTCCACTCCCACATGCCCTGCTTCTGAGTCTCCAACGCCCAGTATACTACTCTGTATGCCCCGGACCCACCCACAGTTAGCTCCCACTTATAAGTAAACATGCAGTATTTTGTTTTCTATTCTTGAATTGTACAGTAAGTCTTAAAATCACCTGTGCTTTCCTTTTTCAAAATCCTTCTGGCTATTCAAGTTCCTTTCCCTTTTTATATAAAATGTTTTTAAAACGTGCTAGATTTTCAATTAAGAAGGCACTGTAAACATATAATTAATATCTTAACCACAGTGAGTTTTCTGGTCCCTGAACCTGACATACCTCTTCATTTAAGTCTCCTCTAACTTCTTCTGCTGGTGATTTATAGTTTTCAGCATACACATTCTACGTATATTGTTAGATTATAGCTAAGTAATTAATGGTTTTGGTGCTATTACAAATAGTACCTTTTTGAAATTTCAATTTCCAATTGTAGATTACTACCAACAGTACAAATGGCTTTTATATAATAATCTTTGTAACAGTGAATTCTTTCATTTAAAATTTATCATGGCGGGGGCGGGGGGGAGCAGAGCAAGATAGCAGACTAGAGACAGCTTCTTTGCAGCCATGCATTGTGAGATTGAGGAGAAAAAACTCCAGGCACCTCGCTTATGGGCTCTGCCCAGAAATAACCGTTGTGGGCACAGGGAGGCAGCAGACTTCAGGACCCCAAAAGAATGGAAGCAGTGGAGAAGCGACAAGTACTTCTGTGAGGGCAGAGGCCAGGTGGTGTGGCTGGTGCCACTGCACAGACAGTTTGCAAACAGAGAAGGCCTGCCCTACAGGTTTTATTTTTCCCTTGGACCTGGGCACTTAGTTGAGTTACCTTGAGGGAGCTGTGGAGCAAGTGATTTTGAACAGCGCCCAGGGGCTGGGAATGAGCCAACAGGAGGAGCAGAGCTTTCATTGTTCAGCTGTAGGCCGGGCACAGCCATTGTGGGAAAGGTGCCTTGCAAACTTGGCCTTCGGGGTCCTAGAATGAGGCTAGTTCTGGTGTACTTGATAAGCAGGGCAGCCACTTCTGGAGAGATTCAAGTGACACACACTTTCCTGGGAAAGCCACTGTGTAGCCAAGGGATATGGTTTAGAGAGGTCAAGGTTTATCTATTATGCAGGCTGAGGAGAGCTCAGGCTCCTAAAACCCTTGGGGGACTGAGGGCAAAGAAATCAGGAAGATGGGAATAGG